TCTCCCCTGAATTCTTCCTTTTCATCTTGCTCTCCCTCTTCAGGACGCCCTCTCCCTCGCACTAGTACGTAGGAATATCGACCTAATTGTCTCTCTGCCTCTCGCTCGAGTGTAAGCGCCACCGGTGGATACAGCCATTCTGGCGCCAGACCACATCTACCAGTGTATGTGCATGCATTCGCTGGATCAGGAGAATGGGAAAACGTGGATGAATGAATGAGAGAGTGTGGAATTTTTTGGCATAACCAGTGACAAAGAGGAGAAGTTTGGCGCAAGTCCGACTCTACCACTTCTGTCTGAGAGGAGTTGTTCGGTGGGTGGTTCATCTGATAAACGAAATGAGGACAATTGAACTGGGGATAAATAATCTCGGGGAAGAGTTTGCAGTTCGATGATGCGGGGGGGAGATTTCCGAGGCTCTTCTTTATGAGAGACATTCGAATTGGGAGATTTCAGTCAACAGATTTCAAGGAATTTCGGCTTCAAAAATTCAGAATTTTACGGAAAAATCAATGTAAATTAGCAATTTCAGCTCAATTATTTCATAAAAATGATTAAAAATGAGAAAAAATCAATTAAATATATCGTAAAATCAATGATAATCACAATTATTATTATTTTAATGAAAATTGAATCGAAATGAAATCAGAAAATTTGGAATATCATGAATTTTCAGGGAAATTAAAAATTAGAAAAAGTTTTCAGTAAATTTCAATTTATTTTCTGGGAGCCCGGCTTGGGACAAGAGTTCCGTAGAATGAAACAGGCCATGCGTTAATTCCCTGAAATGTTGATGACCTCATCCACTTATTTCAATTAAAAAAATCAATTTTTCATTATTTTCAAAACTCCAGGAATTACTCGTGTAAATTGATCCCTCGTATCCATGAAAAACTTCAGTAGTTACGGTGCAGCTACAGTCAGCCGCGTTGTAAACCCATATTTCTGTACACGTATTGTCGATGCAGCTGGCTAAGGTACTTACTTCTCCTGACCGAATGAATTTCCTTGGAACGAAGGGATAAAAATGGACAAGTTGCACTAGAATGGGTTACGATCGGCGCAGCATGAGCCCCGAGCGCTCATCTCCTGATATTTGATACCGAACAGTATTGTGGAGTCCACAATGGACGAAATCCCGTAGCAATATCGAGCGCCATTTTATCTCTTCGGATTATACCTCTAGCTCGGGATGTAAACTCCGGGGATCGGCTAATAATCGGATCGAACGGATCTGAGAAATTCTTAAATTATCAGAATATCCAATAATTCTCGACTAGAAAAAATAGCGTCACTTATTAAATTCAGACACTTGTTCCCCCTTTTTTGAGATGTTTGTGTCTTCATATTTAAAATGCTTTTCCACTTTTGTAGTCGAACGTCAGTAATTTCCGGACATTTTGCAATGATTTTATTATTTAAACTTCGCAAGTCTGGATTTTAATCTCGATATTGAATCGTTGGAAAACATTTAAAAATATGAAAACAAATTAGAATGTTTACTTGTGGTGAAAGATTGATGAAATAATTTAAAAATTGCAATTTTTGAAAATTACGATCATTTTCTGTAAATAATTGAAAAATTATTTATTCGGAATCGTATAAATTTATTCATTTATTCAAAATTTAAATAATTTCAATTATTTATTTATAAACAACAAATGTTCAAAAAAATTATAATTATATACAAAATGTAATTTGAATGACTGACTATTCATAATTTTTTTCAAAATATTCTCACACAATTTAATTAACCAATTTAATAATTGAAAAACGTTGAATCTATAGTCTGACCTGTTCCAAACTGTAAAAGACACTTGGATACCCTCAAGTTATTTTTATTGTCCCAAATGAAGACATTCAGACCATTAATTTTGTCACTCGTGGTTTCAACCCCCTCCCCCCCCCCAATATTCATTACCTTAAAATCAAAAATATTCTCTAACCACCGACATCTGACCAATTCCCCGCTATTTCCCAACTTAAGACCAAAATTTGTCAAAAAAGAGCTCTTTCCCCTCGCCCCCGGCCATTTCCAAGATTCATACCGTACCACAGAGATTTTACTGGGCACATCGTCAGGAATGGGTTTTACATGGCGCCAATATTTCAAAAAAAGGAGCAAGAACTTTCCCCGCTCAAGCTACTCCACGAGATACGCGCCTAGTGCTCATTTGAATAAGACGGCAGTTAGTTGTGTTTATGATGCGAAACGCCCGGACAAACTATTACAAATTGCATTCAGTGTCGGTATCGCAGGGCCGCGTGCATTCCAGATTTTTCGGCATTTCTCCAGCATTTTAATGAGCCCCCCGGAGTCACTCCCGGCGAATCAATAGGAGTGAGTGTGACAGCTCTGCCGGAAGTGAAGCAGTCATTTCGACATTTCGTCCACCAAAATGGAGGGCATCCTCACGGAGATATTCCAGTCATCTCCCGTGGGTACCGTATCGGATGATGTAACCAGTTTCCTCACCCTCCCAGCGGCGTCCCGACGCTCTTTTAGGCGCCACGACGGCTGCCTTTCAACGACACACAACCTCGCCCATATCCCAGCCTTCTCTCTCTCTCTCTCCCTCCCCCCCGCGCCCTGCGCTATGTCTGGGAGGTCGATACTCCACTATCCGCGGTCGTCTTTCTGCCGATGCTCTGGAATGTGTACGGAGCATCGGGGTTTTATCGAACTCACTCTCACGATTATTCCGGCTTTTTATTTCTCGTCGGCGATACTGCCAAATTTCGGGGCGGCAAATACCGCTGAAACGAATCTCCATTTTTTTTCGATGGATTTTTGGGTTCAGATGGTGGAATTCAGTAGCGAAGTGGTAAACCGGTATAAGTCGATTTTGACTATTGGCTGGTTTTCAATAAATATCTCGGAATCTAAGGGAAATAGCGAAATTGTTGTGATTTCCTTTTTTGTAGCTCTCAATTTACTCTGCACAAAAGGTTATGACAACAATTTTGCTATTCCCCTTAGATTTTGAGATATTCAGTGAAAACTGCGCAATAGTCAAAATCGACTTATAGCGGTTTAACATTTCACTACTGAATTTTATTCGCAAATCCAAAATTTACAGTTTTTTGGGCTCAAGAAATTAATTATGGCCTCAGAAGGTCATTGAAGGCTTCAGAAGGTACTTCATGGCCTCAGGAGGTCGAATATGTAGGTGAATACAGTGTTACTAATTTTCGTCTGAATTTTTCGTTTTAATTTCCGTGTTGAATTTTTATTGTTTCATTTCCATTGAAATTTTAGGAAATTTTTTTATTGAAAAATCAAATATTCCATCGACTTTCCGTTCGAATGAGCTGATAATCAATAGAATACGCGATTTTTTAGCTCAATTATTTCGTGAAAAATCGGAAAAATCAGAAAAATTCCGGAAAAAATTGAAAATTCATCCTCCACCCTAAATTTTTCTCTCACTCACCAATAAAAGAAGAGGCTGCATCTTCCACAACGAAATATCCGAATTTTTTTGTATTCAATCCAGAAAAAAATACGAAGTTATCATTTCTGTAACAGAAAAAAAATCATTGGGTTAAAAAATTTGACGAAAGCAGGAATGTTCACTAGAGCGCTGCATTCTCCCCTCGCATGAAAAGAATAATCCCGAGAACTTGGAGCATTTTTCTCGCATGAAAATTCTCGAGATACTGAAGCACAATGTGAAATACCTTGCTAATTAAAAATGCCATAAAAACTCCCGGAAATCATAATTAATCGGAATATCGTTTGTGAACATTCACGTGTACTTTGTCCCCGTAAATATTAATGAATTCGTAATTGATAATTCTGCAGCGATCCACATATTTTCTCAAACAACGGACACACATTTATTTGAATCAAATAAAACAGTCCTTGACGTCAAGTCACATGTATTCACCACAAAAATGGAAAAGTTCTATTTTTTTTAACCTAATAAAATCTCCAGTCGAGAAATTTTCTGCTTTCATGAATTCATTAAAAATTCGTAGCTAGGAGATGATTACATTGAGGAATGAATTGAATATGTTGTTTTCTCGAATGAAGCCAATGTTTAAATTGAGCTTTCCGTACATCACATTATAGCGACAAATAAAAGGAACTTCAATTCTAGAGAAGTTGGATTTCTCCCAATCAAATCTATCTCAAGAAGAGATAACTGTTATTCACTATGAAATCATGTTTATTTGAAAATAAAATTATTGAAGTTCCTTCAAATAAAATTCTGTCGATAAAACCAGTTTTTCTGTCAGTGGAGTGCACTAATTACACACGCCTGCGGCTGGATAAAATGGTCAACAAATTCCGCGCGCGAATTAAACTGAAAATAAACGAAAAACAAAAAGAAAAGCATGAAGAAAGAAAAACAGAGTTTGTTTACACTGGAAATGGAACAAGGGGAGTTGAAATAACATCAGAAGATCTTTCACCTGACGATAAAAGCCGTTACGGCAAAACCACCATGGGGATACACCGAGCGATGTCGCTCTTGCTCTTACGGCAAAACTTGGTAACGAAATAAGTATCGCGGAGGAGAGTATAAAAAAAATCAAGTTAAAAAGTTTTCTCTCGAGCGAACCAGTGGCGTTTAATAAAGTCTTTGGAGAAATCTAAAAGAATAACATATTGAACATGGCCACCGGGGACGCCCCAGTGTTTTAAACTTGTTTCGCTTCAACGTCAACCTTTCACCGGTATTTTTAAAAAACTCGCGGTGATTACTTTTGGAATAAAATATCATTTACGTATTCGATTTGACCCGATCGCGGGTTTTTGTGGCGGATGTAAGGGGGCATGTTTTCAAAAGTATATTTCAGTAGCGAAGCGGTAAACCGGGTTAAGTCGATTTTGACTTTTGGGCATTTTTTGACAAATATCTCGGAATCTAAGAGAGATAGCAAAATTTTGCTCATCACCTTTTTTATAACCCTCAATTGGCTCTACAAAAAAGATCATGACAAAAATTTTTCTATCTCTTTTAGATTCCCAGATATTCGTCAAAAACTGGCCAATAGTCAAAATCGACTTAACCCGGTTTACCGCTTCGCTACTGATTTGCAAACCCTCAGAAACATCTGAGTACACCAAATCCCCATTCCTTAATAAACTCGTCGGTAAAAATCCCCGAAAGCACGTGTGGCAGCGGCTGTATTTTTCGTTGCACCCTCGGTGCAAATAAAATATCGAACGAGAGACTGGTTGCTGGGATTTGAACGACTCTTCAACTCCCCGGACCAACGGCTGGGGAGGAGGGCGTGCATTTCACCAAATGGTATTTAGTATTCTGCCTGCGGCACCGGGTGGACTTTGCAGAGTAACTGCAACCACTGTAGTCTGACGGAAGTGCCAAGTAGCTTCTGTGTTGGTTAAGGGGTAAGAGTCGTGTAAGAAAATTGATGCGGGTGGGGGGAATGAGCGACCACGTTACTCTTGAGCAGAGGTGTGAGGCCAGAGGGAGTAACGCGCAGACCATCCCCCCAACACTGCTCTGACGCTGAACCGGTGTGTAAAGTTGCTGGGTACGAGGAAGAGTGTGTCCCGAGGGACAAATTCCACCCCTGCTTTGGTACGACATTTGCAGGTTAACGTGGTAGCAGAGCCAGCGGAACGGACCAGCGATTTTAACCTCATCCAAAATGACTGCGACTGTGATTACTCACAAAACTATTCACGTTGTCCATACGAAAACAGGGGGGAATGGGATTTTTTGGGGGGGAGGGCTGAATGTTTTCATCACATTTTATTTTCTATGAAATTTTAGAGAGAATTTACTGCGTTTATTGCATTTTAGGCACTGGTAAATGCATTATGAGAATGATACAGAAGAGAGAAACTGAATCGATGATAAAGATGACTAATGAGTGAAAAATTAAGGAGTAATCGGGGAACCATTATTGAGGGGAGTGTCGTGAATGGAGTTCCCAGAACAGTGAACAACTTTGTGAAATGAGTGAAAAATTCATGAATAATTTTTAATGTTTAATCAATCTTTTGATCAGAAAAAAATTTACTGAATTTTCTGGAAAAAGATCTTGAATTCAATTAAATGAAGTTTATCTCAAAATTCTAGTAAATTCCCATGTTTTTAGCGGCGAAAAGCCCGAAATTCCACAATTCATATTCATTTTTAAGGCCGTGACTATTCGCACCATTGCGTGAATCACTCCCGTACACTCCATACACTCCACGCATGCGTGAAGTTTGTGTGTTTCACGCAGCCGAATTTTCATACTGCTGTGTATTTCACGCAGTTGAAGTTTCATACTACTGTGTGTTTCACGCAGTTGTATTTTTATACAC